GGCCCTCCTGAGCTGTAGGCGGCCTCCTGACCGTACATCGCCTTCCTCACCTGTCCGCGCCCTCCTCTTTAAGCAGTGCCCTTCTGACTTGATAGCGCCATCTTCACTCGTATAGTGCCCTCCCTCACCATACGGCGTCCTCCTAACCTGCCGGCGCTCTCCCCACCATACAGCGCTCTGCTGACTTGTCGGCGCCCTCTTCACGTAGCGCCCTCCAGATCTGTCGCAGCCCTCATCACCGTTCAGCGCCCTCCTGACCAGTCGTCGCCCTCCGAAATAAATAGCGCCCTCATCACCAGGGTTTCGGAGTAGGAGTCGGAGTCGGAGTCGGAGTCGCCCGGAGTCGTGGCAAGCAGCCAGGAGTCGGAGTCGGAGTTGGAGTCGGTCCAGCTGCCTCGACTCCGACTCCGGAAAATTAACTGAAGTCTAAAATCCGTGCCATCACTTTTAAGTTGTGTTTAGCCAGGTGCCCGGCGGCAGAATTCACTTTCAGTGATTACAAAGAAGGCTTTTTTCACACATCTTGTTTTTTTTCTGCATAACAAACATTGGATCTTTTAACCCTCTCATGTGTAGGGGGGGGGGGGGTCGGATGGACCCCCCCATGGTTTTTCGCGAATAACTCGCGTAAAAAGCGGCCGATCGCGACGAAACTTTCAGTACCCTCGCATTGATCAATTTTACACCTACCCTGAAAATTTCATGACCCTGACCCAAATGACCTTTGACCTGTGACCTCTTTTCCGAGACCATGTTTGGCCGGAATCGCGATTTCGCGTATGTCGGCTCGCACTAGCCGCGTGTTTGCAAGCTTTTCGTGGTTTCAAACGTTCAAACATGTGATTTGATGTTACTCCCGTGTGTGTCAAGGTCACCTGAAGGTCAGATCAGGTCATTGACCTTTGGTGACCTCGGGTGACCTCGGGTCACTTTTTCGAGTTTTACATGTTTCTAGGCTAGTTTTTGGAGCTGAATTCGAATTTAGCAACCATTTGAACATTTACGAAGTAGTTTTGGTGACTTCGTAACATGTTACGAAGCTGTCAAAGGCGGTTGACACGTACTACGAATACCCGTCACGACGCCTACTGGTTGACCTGACCTGACCTGACCCGACCTGGTCTAAATGCTTCAAGACATCATCTGTGATCAAAACTAACACGAAATTCGTGATCAGCACCCCGAAAAACCCCTTAGCAGCCACACTTTACGACTTTATAACAGGTCCCGATTTTCCCGACTTTGGGTCATTGACCTGACCTGGAAGGTCAACCAATGACCTAGGACCTTAAAATTGGGTATCATCGGCTTCCTCTCGTCACGGGCAACACGCTCGTTTTTTCCGCGAAGCTCTAGCTCGATCAGGGGCCAAACGGCAAGGGGGGGGGTCCAACCGACCCCCCCCCCTACACATTAGAAGCTGGCAAACGCCGCACACATGCGAGGGTTAAGTTTCAAGTTATGTCATAATTTAGAAGCAAGCATTTTGTATTCCCGTTATAACTTCTACTATCCAGTGTCAAAAAATTTATGACAACATATATTTACGTTTTTCTTTTATCGCTCCGAAAAGTGCCTATTACAAACACAGATCACCGACATTATGGCGATGGTCATGATACGGCCACACTCGTGCTTCTCGGCGGGTTTTCAAGCTGGCCGCTGGCCGCTGGTCTCTTGTGGATGGTAAGATGTCTGAGGTAAGGTGTCACTTGACGCGACCTGGTGACCTGACCTTGAATGACCCGGGTCTGAAATTTTTGCAACGCGTGCAGAGAAGATATAGGAACAGGTGTTCCAAAAGTTAATGAGATATTCGCGAAAAAACCTAAGGGGGGGGGGGAGTAAAAAGGCCACCAGCACGCCGCGGCTTAACCCTCGCCCGCACATGCCATTTTCCCATCCTAGAACGCACATGGGGGGGGGGGGGGTGGTGGTTGCCACCCCCCGCGAAATTTCGTTCCTGTTGGAGATAGAGCTTAGCAGTAAAGACCAAAAAGATTCCTTGGGAAGAGACAAATCCAATGATACCCAGTTTTACCTTCTCAGGTCAGTCATTGACCCTCCAGGTCAGGTCAAACTAAAAAATGTTGCTGTTTTGGGTCACCGTTGGATATTAAGTGCGCTGCTTATCAAATACCGATGACGATGCTGTTTTCTGGTGCCAAGCCAGCTAGAACCTCTTTGTCACACTATCCGACCAGAATTTTGCTGCTGAGGTCATTTCAGGTCAAGTTAGGTCAAGGTCAATTAGATGTGTTTGCATGTCTGTGTGTGTCTGTGTGTAATCTGATGTGTACACCGATTGTTTTTGGGTCAATATCACATGAAATCATGATCTGAGAAGCTTTTACCAAAAATGCAGTCAAAAAACTTCACAAAAAGTAAATTCAGCTTGCCTAAAACGCAATTATCTTAGATGACCTAGGTTGACCTTGACCCTGACCTTGACCCCTGTACATCGTCGAACAACATGTTCCATGATAGGTGGGAGGTAAGACTGGCAACAAAGGCCGAAATCAGGGTGCCAAAAGCTCACAAGGCCCATGGCAAACGCAAGATGTTGAGAATTGGCCATTTGGGTCATGACATGACCTGAAAAACAAGGTCATATCTCCGAAACCAAAAATCACAGAAACTTGAAATTTTCAGTGGACATCAAGAAAGGATAGATGAGTAGCTATACAAAAAATCAGCCTTCTAGCTCTAAAAATGTTGAGTGCAGAGCAGAAAGACTAGCTGGGGGGGGGGGTGGCAACCACCCCCCCCCCATGTGCGGGCGAGGGTTAAAAATAATTGTGGTCCAAAACAAGAGTAAGGCTACTTTATTTGATTACACAAAATGTTTTGCCGTCAGAACCAATCGAACGAAATGGATGCATTTGCTCTGTCTTGGCAAACAGACACGCAATCGGCAGGGAACCAGCTCAACGCCTAAATAAGGTCCGAAAATATGTCTTCCTTGCATTGCGGAGCAGCCGGATCACCCTGGTATGCCTATGCTACTACCTATGCTACTGTGCTGCTACTTCAGGCAACAGAAGCTGATGCAGCTGATAGCGGAATAACAACTTTTTGCGGCACATGCTAGAAAAGTTGGTGGATCCATAACTGGGTGTTAATTGACAAGTGACATTCTAAGAAGAGGACCAGATTGAGCCGGGCCAGGCTGTTGACCTCTGGCTTGGAGACGGACCTGTCGGGCATGTTTTTACCTCGATGTCACAGGGACGTGGTCACCTCTGAATATGTATGTATTCATGGTTCAGTTACCTATCTGATCTTGATTTTAGGCTGCCATCACAGGGACCAGGTCCAGGCCATCCGGGTATGTTGCGATTTAACCCTCGCCCCGTTGGGGGGGGGGGCATTTTGGCCCCCCTGTGTTTTTTCCTGAATAGCAAGAAAACGGCGGCGCGCAGCGCTGCAAATTTTCAGTACCTTCCCGGGCATCAATTTGACACCTTCACACCAAATTTCAAGTCTTAGGTCACCTTAGGTCAGGAGTTATTGAGGTCAAACTGAGGTCATGTTCAAGCAAAAATGAGCAAAAAACATGCAATCTTGAAACGCTCACCAAATCTACAGTTATCAAGCAATTTCAAAGTTCTTTATATGGTCTAGTAGACAAAAAGTAGCGCTACAATACTGCAATCTCGGATTTTCAAAATGTTGGGTTTTTGACCCCAAAAAAGTCAAAAAATTGTTTTTTTTTTGAAAAACTAAAAAAAATCCAAAAACTTTCAGAATTTCGAAAAAACCGGAATATATGTGATAGTCCCTGCGCTCTTCTATATACATACCAAATTTCAGATCGATATCTCGTTTTTTGGCCAAGTTATAGCGAAAAACTGTTCAAAAATGATGACGTCAAATATTTGAACTCAATTTTTAGCGATTCTAGACCACGTACGGCAAAACAAAGACCACCATTGAATTCCCCGTGACGAGCTACATCGATTCGATATCCATGTTATGCAAAAATATTAACTTTGAAATTTGACCTAATTTGACCTGACCTTTACCTGACCTTGACCTGACCTTGACCAAAACGTGACCTAAGCTGGCCCCAAAGGCTGCCTGACCCACATAATTGCATCTGTCATGTAAAATGGACCATAAAACATGCATCATACGACACTTTCATATTGTGACCCCCCCGTGACCTGACCTCTGTGACCTGACCTGGTATCAGTGACCTCAAATATCAAAATATGTGTTTGAAGAACATTTCCCCATCGATGATTTTCAATGAAATGCATTTTACTCGATTTTACAACGCATTTCTTGAAATGCCTGTAAACGGTGAAAATTGGACCTTTGACCTGACCTGTGACTTCATCGGTTTAACCTAGGTCAATAAAATTGGGTCACAAGGTAGTTCCATGATAGGGCTATCCAACACCGTTTGCCGCTTGTCGCTAGGTTGCGTGGTTTTCGTGATCTTAGGGGGGGGGGGGCAAAATGCCCCCCCCCAACAGGGCGCGTTGCTCGGCAGAGCCCAACGGGGCGCGGGTTAACCCGTGCACCGCTATTACTCCCTAATGCTTAGTCACGTATTGATATGAACTGAGGTAGTTCAACACAAAAACGCTAAAATCGAGCGGATATCTCCGCTATTTTCACAATTGGGGACATTCGAAACTGTTTCCCGTATAAGTCATTATGACCTGCAGATGACCTTAGGTGAACTGCCTTAAAAATTGGATGAATATTATGGCACTCGGTGAGCTTAGCACACCATGCAGGTTTGAACGAAATGGATTCTTATAAAAAACAGCAAAACTTTAGTACTAGTTTGATGATATAGCGATTTTCGTGACCTGGTAACTTGGCCGGAGGTCACTGCGAGTGGCCAAGCGAGGGCTGAATTACATACGGTTTTGGAACGCACCGCTTGCCCTTGCCACGCATGGTCTTTCAAAAGACAAGGGCTGAACAGGTCACCGAACTTCTTTATAACATGAGCAGCCTGACAACTTTTTACATTCCAGACTGAACCTTTTATCAATCGAAGACAGGAGACAGCCTGCAGTGTAGGTTTTCGTTCACTTGTCGGTCCTCGAAGCTGGAGGGAGCTAGCTCACACGGGGAGAATGACTGCCAGCTATCCGTGCTCGTGGTCGCCGGTGCTGCTGCTGCTCCTGTGGCAGCTTTCCGCGCTCAACGCCAATGGATTGGAAAGCGTTTCTCGAGCCTCCGCCATCGCCCAGTCGGTCAGTGAACTTCTGAGCCCGATTTTACGGACTCCTCTGCATGTGTGACTTCTACAAAGCATTGAATTTCTTAACCCGCGAGGGACTGGAGGGGAAGGGTCTGTTCTCCCGTTTTTCGGCAATATCTTCCAAACCATTTAACCCGGCAGGCGGTGGGCCTCCCAGCCACCTTCCGCGCGGTGGGGGGGGGGGGCATTTTTTTACCCCCCCGCCTCGTATCTCCGAAACTACTGGACGGATCCGGAAAATTCAAACGGCGTTCGATAGCCCTGTCAAATTTGTCAAGGGATACCAAATTTCATTGACCTCGGGGTCACCTATGACGTCACAGGTCAGGTCAAAGATAAAATGTTTCACCGTTCACGGGGCTTCTAGGGAAAGCGCGTAACACCGAGTAAAACGCATTTTGTCGAAAATCAGCGATAAGGCGTCAGTTGTCTAGTACATATGTTGCTATTAGAGGTCACTGGTCATACCAGGTCAGGTCACAGGTCTGGTCACCAAAGGTCACCAAGGGTCACCACATAAACCCAACTTTTCTAAGGTTGTGCGATGCATGTTTTATGGCCAGTTTTTCATTTCCAGCTCAATGGTATTGGTTATAGGACCATCAGGTGCGGTTTAGGTCACTTTCTGGTGGAGGTCAGGTCAAGGTCAGGTCAAAAAAGGTCAAATTTCAAAGTTGATATTTTTGCATAAAATGGGTATCGATTCGATGCAGCTCGTCACGTGGAGTCTAATGGTGGTCTTTGTTTTGCGCTACGAGGTCTAGAATTGCTAAAAATTGAGTTTGAAAATTTGACGTCATCAATTTTGAACAGTTTTTCGCTATAACTTGGCCAAAAAAAGAGGTATTGATCTCAAATTTGGTATGTAGATAGAAGGCGGCAGGGACTAAAACATATATTCCGGTTTTTCCATAATTCAAAAAACTTTTGGGATTTTTCGGCTATTATTTTCAAAAAATCTATTTTTGATTTTTCGGGGTCAAAATAAAAAAAAACCGAAATAGCAGTTTTGTAGCCCTCTTGATTCCACACCTTTTATATCTGGAACATTTTTCTGTGTCTCTAAAGCTGTAGGCCTGACAGCTCTTCCCGCGAAACCTTTTTTGGGTCAAAATGGCAAAAATGACGTCACTCTGACGTCATTAGCGGCCAACCTATCGTAGCCTTTGGAAAAATTTTTGGTCACCATGTGCGCTAGCTACTCACGGAAGGGTACTGAAAGTTTGGTGACGATCGGCGCAGCGGTTCTTGAGATATATCGAAAAAAAACTAAAGGGGGGGGGAAATCCCCCCCCCACCGCCTGGAAGGTTAACCCTCGCCCTGGCAGGGGAGGGGGGGGGGTGATGCACCCCCCAAGGTTTTTCGAAGATAGCGTAAAAGCAAAATTTGGCACAGTCTATGGGGCAACCTTTTTACATATGACCTGAAAATTTCAAGTCCGGGTGACCTTGGGTCAGGCCCCCAGGTCACAAAAACCGGTACAAGGTCATGGTCAAATTTCAATTTTCTTTTTGCACCTGTCCAACTCACAGTTTGGACTGATTTTCTTCAAACTTTCAGGATGTGCTACGTTCACCGAGTTGTATAACATATAGTTCGGGTTTTTTTATGTCACTGACCTGAGGTCAGATAGAGGTCATTACGTCGTAATGGGAAAATACTAAATTCGGAAAATAATGGACATATCCGCTTTTTCCCATCACTTTTGTGCTTTGAAACCATAGTAGCTAACAGCAGGTCACTTGGGGCTTCTTTGATTGGTGTACTTATCCATGGGTCAGGTCAAATGAGGTCAAATGAGTCAAATGACGTTTTTGCCAAAAACTTGGCACATAATGATGCTAGAGCTTAAAAAAATGGTGTCATTGTGTTCCTGGTGATCAGCCGAATCGAATGATATGCAATATGATGCAATTTGGTTAACTTGAACTTAATTAATTAATTAAAGTTTACTTAAAATTTAAGAAAAACTTTAAGTACACTTAAGCACGCTAAAAAGTATATCATTCGACGCGCCTTGACGTGCTGAGTTCGCAAGTGCTTTTCTTTTTGCTCTATCTTAATTAGATCAAAAGTTATAAGCGGGAATTTTTTGACCTGTTTTTAGCGAAATTTTTACATTTAAACCCCCTAAACCCCCCTAAATATTGACCTAGAGCAACCAAATTTACAAAGGGGCGAGAACTCCAGGAAGCCCACCTACCTACCAAATTTGGTGTTTCTAGGTGCCATAGGAGCCAATCGCGATGGGGGAGGGGGTCGCATCGACCCCCCCCCCCCTGCCAGGCCGTGTTATGAAAAGCAGCTATTTTTGGAGTTTTTGCCTTCTGGAGGCTAAACCGTTGACTTTAGGTCATTTTTGATAACTTTATCAAAAGAAGAGTTCAAAAGCTATCGATTGCTTTTCCAGCGTTTTTCTAGGTATCATAGTTCCTGAGATAATGGCATGTTTTCTGAAAAATATCATGACTATTCGCAAATTTTGACCTTTGGTGGCCTCTGGTGACCCCAATATTGCTCTAAGATGAAAAATGAATGATATACTTTCACACGTACGCATCGAGAGCTATCGACTGCTTTTTACCGCGTCTTTCTAGCCCTCTTAGTTTTTGAGGTAGAGGTGGGTGGTAGCATATGACCACCTCCCCCCACTAGGGCGAAGTTGGCTGAGACCGCCACTGGAGCGCGGGATAACCTAGACTGGCCCCAAAGGCTGCCTGACCCACATAATATCTCATTTGTCATGTAAAATGGAACAAAAAACATGTATCACAAGACACTTTCGTATTGTGACCCTCAGTGACCTGATCTCTGTGACTTGACCTGGCATCAATGACCACAAATTGCAAAATTTGTATTTTGTGGAAAATTCCTTATCGATGATTTTCAATCACATGCCTTTTCTCGATTTTACAACACATTTCTTGAAATGCCTGTAAACGGTGAAAATTCGACCTTTGACTTGACCTGTGACGCCATCGGTTGGACCGAAGTCAATGAAATTGGATCACAAGGTAGTTGGGGCATTCCACGATAGATCGTACCACTTTTTTCCAATTTGACACCCTCATCTCTCGGATTTTAACGATAATTGGTCTAAGGGGTAATCAGGGGCTCTGAATCCTCCTGTAACAATTTCAGGCTTATCAGATGAGTGGTTTTTGAGTTATAGTGTATAACATGTTTTGGATCTTGCGTTGCAGCCCCAAGTTTGGCGGGCTGTAACTCTAAGACGGATAATCCAAATGCCAAATACTATACGGCATTGAACTTGCATTGAAACAAAGAATAATATGCATTTTTAAAATTTTGAAATATATACTATTTTTTATATATAACACCTCGAGTTTCCTTTCATTTGCATTTTTATGCCTTTGGGACCAAATTTTTTGAATTTTTATTTGCTTAAAAACATTTTTGGATCATTTTTAAGTAGTATGCAAAAAATTAGGAAGGTGTTCTTTCTATAAATGTACTTATTTTGCGTCACCGTAATGGTCTCGAATTGTGATTTCGGAAGAGAGCCTACAAATAGTGTGGTAAAGCTGCCTAGTGACATCACTGGTTACGGAAAGTTCAATTAAAGTCATTTTTGCCTCACTTTTGCATTGTTGACCTTGCGTGACGTCATTCGTACATCACTAGGGTCATAAGAGTTTTTCGTCAATAACTCTCGATCAAATTGAGCTAGAGAGACGGGAAGGCTACCAATGGACTCGGGAAGACCTTGCGAATCGAATGATGTGCAAAATGATCTCATTCACCCAGCTACGTGGCCTGACCCGACTGTTAACCATCTCTGTAGCGGCGCTGTTTGTCCAGCGCCGCGCTGGTTGGCTTTGCCGCGGACTCGGGGCGGTCACGTGATGCCCGGGGGCTGGCTGCCGGCTGGGCCGCCCGGTCGGGGCGCGGAGCCAAATACACGGCAGTGTGCTTACCCGAGGTCAGCGACTTAAGCTGACTTCACCAGAACAAACAGTATATCATTCGACGCGCCGGAGCGAGGCAAACACAAAGATGCTAAAATCGCGGCTCTGCGACCATTTGTTGCGAAGTTATCTATCAAAAACCGGACCCGTAATTTTGGGTCACTTGAAATGACCTCAGGGGTCACCAATGAACCCGAGACTTTAAAATTTGGTATCATTCGATGCATCTTGTAACGGCGCACATGCTCGTTTTTTCCGCAAGGTCCTAGCTCCATTAGAGGCGAAACGGCGCGCTGGGGTCGTACCGACCCCCCGGAAACCCATTTTGTATACATTTAAATGAGGAACTTATAGAAAGAACACCTTTCTAATTTTTTGCATGTCGATTTGAAAGGACCTGAGGTTTATTTTGAAGAAATAAAAATGGCAAAAATTTTGGTCCCAAGGGCCCTTATAGACAATTTAAAAAAAATACTACGACTTTTTCAATATGTAAAGCTTTTCTTTCCAATTTTAAAAATACTGTATTTATCTTTGATTCATCGTTAGTTCAAAGCTGTTTACCGTTTGTTGCTTGCTTAGCTCGTTTTTGAGTTATAGCTCATCAAACTCACCCTTACAATCTGACGTTAAGAAAATATTATACAATGTAACTCAAACAGTTTTCATCTGAGAAGTCTGATATTTTGGCAGGTGTTTTTGGAGCCTATGATTACCCCTTGTACCAATTTTCATTCAAATCTGAGAGATGAGGGTGACGGGCCTGGTACGATCTATCGTGGAATGCCCCAGTTCCGTTCCGTGGTAGGGCTATCCAACGCCGTTTGCATTTTGAAAATCGGCTGCTAACTTTCCGATATCTTGGGGAGCCCAAACGGCCCTCCCCCTATGGGTGGTAGGGTCCGCCGATAGCCCTACGGGGCGCGGGTTAGTATTTGATAACCTTTTATTATTGCATATTGTTCCTTTGTCATTCATCATCCACAAGAAAATGAAAAAGCATGCCTATGATTTCAAGAAAGTTCTTGACGGCTCGTTGGTTAAGCAAAAAATTATTACGTTTTTATTTAAACGATTTTCTTTAACCCTCGCCCGCACATGGGGGGTGGTTACCCCCCCCCCCCAGGTAGTCTTTCTGCTCTGCACTCAACATTTTTAGAGCTAGAAGGCTGATTTTTCGTATAGCTGCTCCTCTATCCTTTCTTGATGTTTACTGAAAATTTCAAGTTTCTGTGGTTTTTGGTTTCGGAGATATGACCTTGTTTTTCAGGTCATGTCACGACCCAAATGGCCAATTCTCAACATCTTGCGTTGGCTATGGGCCTTGTGAGCTTTTGACACCTTGATTTCGGCCTTTTTTGCCAGTCTCACCTCCCACCTATCATGGAACATGTTGTTCGACGATGTACAGATGTCAAGGTCAAGGTCAAGGTCAACCTAGGTCATCTAAGATAATTGCGTTTTAGGCAAGCAGAATTTACTTTTTGTGAAGTTTTTTGACTGCATTTTTGGTAAAAGCTTCTCAGATCATGATTTCATGTAATATGGACACATAAACAATCGGTGCACACATCAGTATACACACAGACACACACAGACATACAAACACATATAATTGACCTTGACCTAACTTGACCTGAAATGACCTCAGCAGCAAAAACCTGGTAGGGTAGTGTGACAAAGAGGTTCTAGATGGCTTGGCACCGGAAAACGGCATCGTCATCGGTATATGATAAGCAGCGCACTTGATATCCAACGGTGACCCAAAACAGCAACATTTTTTTAGTTTGACCTGACCTGGAAGGTCAATGACTGACCTGAGAAGGTAAAACTGGGTATCATTGGATTTGTCTCTTCCCAAAGAATCTTTTCGGTCCTTACCGCTAAGCTCTATCTCCAACAGGAACGAAATGGCGCGGGGGGATGGCAACCACCCCCCCATGTGCGTTCTAGGATGGGAAAATGGCATGTGCAGGCGAGGGTTAAGGCCATCGTGCCGCGATTTTGATGTGAACTACAATTTTGGAATCAGCTCAACGTCAGCTTTCGAATGGTATATTTTTTGTGGATGAAATAACTTTCCGACAAACTGTGCGATGCGGGTTAAGCAGACAACAGAGGTCTGTCTCTGACATTGTGTGATGCCCATGTGCCGACAGTTGCCGGCTGAGAAAGACAGCTGGCAGCCAGCCCTGGATTCATCAGCAGCATGGCAGTCGCCCAGTACAGCAACAGAGCAGAGGTCACCGGAGACGGTCCGACAGGCTAGAATATTTCCCTTCTTCGAGTATCTGACTCCCAGAGCACGCTTCATCCCCGGCCTTGCCAAGAACAGTCAGTGCTGTGGGAAGGAAAATCAAATACCGCTGATCTTGTTAAGGAGTGCAGGAACACGAATAGTTGGGGGCTACGACACTACCCCTCAGCAGTATCCATGGATGGTAAGACATAAAAACCTGAAATATGCTTACCTATGTAGTATACCGACGTATCAACCCAAGAGCCGCTGGGGGATGGCATAAAGCTGCTCCTCCCTTTACATTTTGTGCGATATATCCGCAACTTCGTAAGATACAAAGTTGAAATTTGGTATAGCTTCAAATGAATACCTAGACCATATTTGTGGAAAGTATAGTGGTTGTGGAACTTCGGATGCCGTCACAGTGACGTCATAAAAATTGTCGTCTTCCGAAATGGAGCGTTTCTGATTTCACTAAGCATGAAACGCAACTGCAAATGAACTTAACAGCACCTGCTGTCATCTTGACAAACCTAAGTACATTTCCAACAACTTCCTGACCAGCAATCGGTCCTATATATTCGAGACCATATTTCGTATAACGTGAGGAAACTAAGAACTCCAATCTTAACCCGGCAGGCGGTGGGCCTACCAGCCACCTTCCGCGCGGGGGGGGGGCATTTTTTTGCCCCCCCCCCGTATCTCCGAAACTACTGGTCTGATCCGGAAAATTCAAACGGCGTTCGATAGCCCTGTCAAATTTGTCGAAGGAAACCAAATTTCATTGACTTCGGGGTCACCGATGACGTCACAGGTCAGGTCAAAGATAAAATGTTTCACCGTTCACGGGGCTTCTAGGGAAAGCGCTGTAACACCGAGTAAAACGCATTTTGTCGAAAATCAGCGACTAGGCGTCAGTTGTCTAGTACATATGCTGCTATTAGAGGTCACTGGTCATACCAGGTCAGGTCACAAGTCAGGTCACCACAAGTCACCAAGGGTCACCACATGAGCCCAACTTTACTAAGGTTATGCGATGCATGCTTTATGGCCAGTTTTTCATTTCCAACTCAATGGTGCTGGTTATAAGACCATCAGGTACGGTTTAGGTCACTTTCTGGTGCAGGTCAGGTCAAGGTCAAATCAAAAAAGGTCAAATTTCAAAATTGATATTTTTGCATAAAATGGGTATCGATTCGATGCAGCTCGTCACGGGGAGTCTAATGGTGGTCTTTGTTTTGTGCTACGAGGTCTAGAATTGCGAAAAATTGTGTTTGAAAATTTGACGTCATCAATTTTGAACAGTTTTTTGGCTATAACTTGGCCAAAAAAGAAGTATCGATCTTAAATTTGGTATGTAGATAGAAGGCGGTAGGGACTATCACATTTATTCCGTTTTTTCGAAATCAAAAAACTTTTTGGATTTTTTGGTCATTATATTCAAAAAATGTACTTTTTAATTTTTGGGGGTCAAAATCCAAAAAATTCGAAAAACCGAAATAGCAGTTTTGTAGCCCTATTGATTCCACACCTTTTATGTTGAAACATTTTTCTGTATCTCTAAAGCTGTAGGCCTGACAGCTCTTCCCGCGAAACCTTTTTTTGGGTCGAAAATGGCAAAAATGACGTCACTCTGACGTCATTAGCGGCCAACCTATCATAGCCTTTGGAAAAAATTTGTGGTCACCATAGTGCGCTAGCTGCTCCCGGGAGGGTACTGAAAGTTTGGTGACGATCGGCGCAGCGGTTCTCGAGATATCTTAAAAAAAAACTAAAGGGGGGCAAAAAAATGCCCCCCCCCACCGCCTGGAAGGTTAAATTGGGCCTCTGACGGCACTGCTACGACATTTTGAATGGGATCGACACCCAATTTGGACACGATTTCTGGTAGCTATTGAGAAATAGGTGTGCAAAGCTTCGTTTTTTTTTCTTATCTCTTCGCATTGCGACGATATCGTCACAGAAGTAAAGGGGGGCAACAAGTTGTCCCCTCCCCCAGCGGCCGACGGGTGGCGCGGATGTGTATGGGAAAACCAATGGGCCCGGTGAGAGCCAAACTCGCATCTACATGAATTGATGAGAGGTCCAGCCATGCTTATAAGGCAACACCCTCGCCCTCCACTTTGCCCACCACACGCTAACCAAATCAGGCAGGTGAAGGGAAAAAGCTGGGTGTCGCATGTAAGAATATACATATAGGGGAGGCCGGAGCAAAGCGGCCACTCTAACGCTTTTTCTTTCGATGCTGACGCTTCATAGGTCACGATAGCCATACAATGCAAGAATGATGCTTCAAACTTGCAAAGAGTTTTCCTATGTCAACAATAATAAAATAGTATGGAATAATAACCTTATGCTCATTCTTTGAAGTTTTTTTGGTTGATAATGAATGATTAAACTAATTCATTAATAAATTTCAGCTTGCGCCATCTTCAGAATGTACAAAAAAAAAAAAACACAAACAATTGTCGACACAAGCAAACAGAATTCGATTCCATGAATCAATAAATCGTGCAACATTTCAATAAGCTCCTTGATGAGAGAATAATTACACAATACACATTGCTCTCGGATTAACGATGCGCTATCAATGACACAATCTGCAATCTACAATATAGGTACAGTCTATAATATCCCGCGCCCCGTAGGGCTACCGGCGGACCCTACTACCCGTAGAAGGGGGCCGTTTCGGCCCCCCCTAAGATCTCGCAAAGTTACCGGCCGATTTTCAAAATTCAAACGGCGTTCGATAGCCCCACCCGGGAACTACCTTGTGACCAAATTTCATTCACCTAGGTCAAACCGATGACGTCACAGGTCAGGTCAAAGGTCAGATTTTCACCGTTCACAGGCAATTCAAGAAATGTGCTGTGAAATCGAGTAAATTGGTAATTTATTGAAAACCATCGATGGTACATTGTTCGTCAAACACATACTTTGCTATCTGAGGTCACTGATACCAGGTCAGGTCACAGCGAGGTCAGGTCACCGGGGGTCACAATATGAATGTGTCGTGTGATAGGGGAGAGTGGGGCACATTCGTGCAAAAAATGGATAAACCCATATATCTGTTCTTTGGTTAGTGCAATGGCAAAAATGTTGATGGTAGTATGGAAAGGAACTATTGCAGATAGTTTTCCTCTTTAAAAGTTATCCTCTAAAATTATTGCTTCCATTAGAAAAAAAATGACTTTTAATAACTCTGAACATTTGCACGAAACTGCCCCACCTATGGGGCACATTCGTTCAAGAGGTGGGGCACTTCCGTTCACCCTGCAAAGTTCGAGAAATTGCCGGGCATTACCAGAAATTTACCAAAGGAAATTGGCAGGGGGTCATTTCACTTGATTCCTTTCGACAAGAATGCATTGCACAACATATGTAGAAAGAATGGGCTGGCCAACAAGAATGTGCCAACTGCCGGCCTCCGTGACCTCGCCAAGTTCGCGTGAATTGCTCGTCACGACGTCGCAAGCAGTCGAGACTGAGTCAGGCGAGCGTCATTAGAGAAACCTACTACAGATAAAGTCATAAATCGCAAAAACTAAAAAAAAATATGCACGAATGTGCCCCCAGGCAGTGCCTACACGAACCTGCCCCACAACGTTATTAGTAATATATTTCAAAATTTCTTTTTGAAAAAATGACACTTTTTCAACAAACAAGTTTGCAGCAGTTCCGTGAATAGAGTGAGCTTCTTCACCCCCAATTTTGAAAAGCTGAACCACATTTCCGAGTCAGGATCACGAAAATGGATAATATGAGAAAAGTTTGGAAAGCTCACGAATATTACAAATTTGCGTTTTTATCCAGCATGACAGCAGGTACAGTGTTGTCTTCTACGGTGAACGAAGGGCGGCAATGATAGACATATTTCCATAATTTACCTTGAGCTCGTGCAGTCACTCGTGTTCCCATAAACTGCTGAAAACGAATGTGCCCCATGCACGAATGTGCCCCACTCTCCCCTACATGTTTTATGGTCCATTTTACATGACAAATGCGATTATGTGGGTTAGGCAGCCTTTGGGGCCAGCCTAGGTCACCTTTTGGTGAAGGTCAGGTCAAGGTCAGGTCAAATTAGGTCAAATTTTAACGTTGATATTTTTGCATAAAATGGGTATCGATTCGATGCAGCTCGTCACGGGGAGTCTAATGGTGGTCTTTGTTTTGCTCTACGAGTTCTAGAATTGCCAAAAATTGAGTTTGAAAATTTGACGTCATCACTTTTTAACAGTTTTTTCGCTATAACTTGGCCAAAAAACGAGGTATCGATCTGAAATTTGGTATGTAGATAGAAGACGGTAGGTACTATTACATATATTCCGTTTTTTTCGAAACTCAAAAAAACGTTTGGGATTTTTTGGCTAATATATCCGAAAAAAATGCTTTTTTGATTTTTGGGGGTCAAAACTCAAGAATTTAAAAAATCCGAGATAGCAGTTTTATAGCCCTGTCAATTCTACACCTTTGATGTATTGATCATTTTTCTGTATCTTCAAAGCTGTAGTCCTGACAGGTCTTCTCGCGAAGGTCTTTTTTTCGGTCGAAAATGACAGAACATGACGTCACTCTGACGTCATTTGTGGCCAACCTATCATAGCCTCTGAAAAAATTTTTGGTCACAACGTGCAAAATTGATGCCCGGAGGGGTCCTGAAAGTTTGGTGGCGATATCTTCAGCCGTTTAGGAGATATCGACCGAAAAGGACAGGGGGGGGGGCGTTTCGGCCCCCCCCCCCCTACGGGGCGCGGGATATACCGGGTGGCCCAGAAAAAACGTTCCCAATTTTAAATCAATATTTCTCAGAAAGTGATAAAGATACAACATTGAAACTTCCAATAGTCAATGCGACATACATTTTCAGTGAATGGTATGATTTTTATGTTATTCGGTCAATTACTTTTTAAACGGTTCGTGTTTCTAGCATGCCATGTAAAAATCACTTTTTTGCTCTGATGTTTACCCAAAATGTGAGTGAACGGGCCACTTCCATCTCGGCACCACGGCCTACAGCCATGACTGCTACTGGCAACTAGTCTCATTGGTGGTTCAGGCCTCAGGGTGACACATTCCCTCTAGCTTTTTTCCTTATTCAGTCGATATACTATTTGATCTTCTTGAAGGGAGGGCGATCAGCAGTAACCCATGCACCGTGCCACTCCTTCGCCTTGAAACAGGACTTGTGTTGAAACGAATGGC